GGACATTACCTGTGCCATAGTCTCAATGTAAAAGCTCCTGCAAATTCCCTGCAGGTCATTCAGCTCCACCTTTGATGGGTGAAATGTGTTACCCTACTGCGACACGCTCCCTCGCCCTGCCTGGTGTAGGCAGCTGCCTTCCTCTTGGGTTTTTTCTTCCCAATGCCTGCCACTTTTACAGGTTTAGAGTTTGCTGCAGGCTCAACAGGAGTCTTGCTGGGGCCAGGCTGGGGTACCCCACCGTTTGCAGATCTGTAAGAATGGATGCTGCTCTCTGAATTAAACAAGATCCTTCTCACAGTTTCGTTCTGTCCCCTCAACCCACCCCCTCATTCATTTGTTACCTCCTTTCCTTTAACTCTGAGTAGTGATGGAGGGTACTATCTAAAAGGAGAGCAGAGGTGTAAGTGTATACTACTGCTCTCTCATTTTCTAGCTATATATTTTTTCACATACTCAAGCAGTTTCAAAAAGGTAAAACCAAAAATCCCATGGACAATGTGTAAGCAGAGTTGTTGAGGTAGCATATAGGCCAAATGGGTGCCCTGGTAAGTGCAGTCTGAATTAGGCAGTCAGGCGTTGTAGAGCATGCATTATATTATAATACTGCACATCCTCAGTGCTGAGATCATGCATTCTGTATCCTGTATGAAGAAAATAATAGTTTACAGGCAAATTAAGAGCACGGTGCCACCAGCAATGGATCTTTTTTTTTTTTCTGTAGTAGTAATTATCAGCCTTTAAAGGATCAGAGTGCCCCAAAAGCTCCCTTATATTCTCCAGATCCATCATCTGTGCCTGTAGAGTCACTATTCATTTTACTGTCAGAAATAAGCAGCTTCTACTTTTAGACCCACAAAGCCTGTACAGTTGTGGAAGAATGAGCAGTGTTTTCTTCTGCCTTGCACATACTTTGTTGAATGACCAATCACGTTGAGCTCAAGAATCTTTAATCGTGATGGAAACATATGACAAAGAAAGAATGGATTTGGATTTTTCAGATTATCTCATTTCAGTGCTTACAATACTAATATTTAGTGGAATTAGCTGGGTGCTGCTAAGCTGAGCGTGTGAGTCATGCTGTCTCTTTTTCACACATACACATGGATAAAGAACTTCAGTGAGCATGGTTCATGGAGGCAATAAGTCTTGGTGATGGTCTTCTGACATAGATGTCTTCTTTGCTTGCCATCTGCCTACTTCCGAGTTGCGTTAGTTTCCCAAGGTAGATGGGAAGCCATATGCAGATTATGTGCATCTACAGGACCCGTGGTCCCCATGGAACTGCATCGCTACAGAGTCCCTCAGCTAAGGGATGTCCTTAGAGCAGAATCTTCATCCTGGGTGGTCCTGAGCAGGGTAGATATAAAATGTTTAACTTTTCTTCTGAATCTCACAATTCTTTTTGAAGCTCTTTTCCGCCTCCCAGCGTGGGCAGCGCTCACTCCAACCCATCCAGAGCGCGCTGTTTTACAAAATAGCTAGGTAAAGTGGCAGGGGGGCCCAGGGAGAGTCACAGATTCCAGTGGGGTCAGTGCATGCCAGGTAGGGAAGCTACTGAAAAGCAAGGTTCAGGAAGCTTTCTGCTGACAACCAACCGTGAATATGCATAACAAGAAATTCAACTCTTGCATTATCCAAAGCCGTTGATGCAAGTATTGACACTGACATTGTACCTTAGCACTGTGTAATCTTTAATGTATTTACCCTGTGAGATCAGAGAATTAGGATTATGTAGTTCATAAAGGAAAGAAATACATGTGAACTTGATTTGGCTCATGTCAGTTATAACAAAAATTAATCTGTCCTCCTTTTTCATTATACTGTTAGTAAACAAAAAGCTAAAGCAGCTTCTGAGCGCTCAGCTTCCCATGGTGAAAACAGATCCAGCAGGGCAGACGCTCCTGAATTCATGCAGTCTCAGCTATGACTCCCTGTGCATGTGAAGGGACTTCAGATACTTAAGACCAATTGTGTATCTGTGCGAATTAAACCCTAGTTGTCCTTTATTGTTCTGTAAAGTTTTTTACAGAAGCCTCAGTGGATCCTTAAGTGAGAGTCTGGAGTCTGAGAATCAGTTCCAAGCCCCGATAACATGTTTAATTGTTGACCTGGTTACTCTTTTCTGAAATGATGAAGGTTTCTTTATATTCATATAGCCAAATACATTGAATATGTTTGGATATTCCACTGAAGGGCACAGTGTGTGTGCCTGTAATCCAGACCAGTCTGCTGCTGTGTGGTCAGGGGCCAGTTCTTAAGCACCAGTATTCTGTAGGATTGAGCCTTGGCTAACTTTTACTAGGACCAAATTCTTTGCCACGAAAACTGTGACTTCATTTATGCTATTGGTGGAACTAATTTGGCCCATATAATTTGTTTTAATTGTAGAGCTCTAAATGATTTAACCAAAAGATTGAACCACTGTTACAGTGGACATTTAGACAAGCTGCATATGTTATATACAGGGGAGAAGTCACATTCCTACAGTTCTTAAGGGGATCGGGTAAGTAACTGGATGGCCTTGGTCTCCAGTACTGTAAATCAGCTGCTGTTTGGCTGAATTCAGGTAAAATTCATGCAAAAAAATTAAACGAGGAGAGTATGGGGAGGTGTGAGTGTCTGGAAAGACCAGGGCAAGCAGGGGTTGACCAGGGCCACCAGTCACACTCAAGTCAACAGAAAATTTTCCCCGGAGATTGTGTAGCAGTGAAGGAAGCAACATGAAGTAGCCTGGTGAGTCAGATCAGGGTCTGTCTCAAGAGGAAAACGTTAACAATAGGGGTAAGAAACTGGACGGCTACCGAGAGCAGTGCTTGCAGAGCCAGCAAAGACACCAGTGAATTCCTGGACAGTTTCAGTTGTTGTGCTACAGAACTCAATGCCAAAGGATTTAGCAAAAAGTGGAGAGGTCTGAATTAAAAGGCAGTTGAATAATTGGGTATCTGTATTAAAACTCCTATGTGTTTGTGTGTAAGGTAAGGGAATGGCAGACAACTGCATCATACAAGAGGCTGAGCGCTGATCTTCTGTTGGGTTCAGGGAAGAACTCTGAGGAAGTCCAAGTTGAATGAGACCACTTTATTTTTTAAATTAACAGTTTTAATTAAAATTATATATTTTTGTCTGAGAGAAGCTAGCCTGCATAGGTATTTCAAACCCTTGTAGGTCTTTGCAGAACTGTAAGAATGAGCACTTCAGGTTAATGTTAAATATTGACACATTTAGAACAATGCTACACAGCAGATGTCATCCCAACATGTGACGGCAACATTACAAAGCAGAATGAATGAAGCGGAAGCAGCTCTGGAACACCCTGCTGTAACATTCTCATTAGCTCCTAATCCGTAAGGCAGGAGAATAGCCCGACTGTACTGAGTACAATAGGGATAGTTGGCCTAATGTCTTTGGTGGGTTAGCATTCATAAAAACACTATTGAATCCAATTCTGTTTCTGAAGAACAAGGAAAAGGAGCTGCAGAAAATCATGGCCTGATACAGGCACACAGACCCTGGGGACACTCTCGTCTCCTCAAGTTAAGGAAAACACTGAATTTTAGCAACAATATTGTAATGGCTTTCAACACAGTATGCTACTCATATTGCAAGTGTACATTCTATGTCATCTATGTTCCTCACTGATTTTTTTTTTTCTGTAGAGAACAATTCCATTGAAGTAATTTTTCTTTTACCTGAATGAAGACTTTAGAATTTAGCTGTGGGATCCGTAAATACGCTGTTCTCATTCCCTAAGGCCTTTCTCCAGCGTTGCTGCAGAGTCTGCGCCCCTCTATGCAATTTCATAATGCATGTTTGTGACAGGCATATCAACCCATCCAGTTAGTTTAGAATTGAGGTGAGAGAGTGCTTTAAATGTAAATTTTACTATAAACAGCGGAATAAAATCTTGCAAGCACTTCCTAGCTCTGCCAGGAAGCAAAGCTATATTTAACTCATTTTAAAATTCATCAAATACATTCTGGGCTGATTCAGATCTTCGGTGTGTCTTTGAAGATAACATGTAGTGGAAGTGTCATACAGTCAGTTGTGGGATTGGGCACATTCTGAGATCCTTGTCAGTGGAGACATGCAGTTGCATCCAGTTACAAGACTGGATTGTAGAAAGAAAAGTACATATAGACCTGACGACTTAATATTGATACTTTATTTGAAGATTTGAACAATATCTGTTGCGTTCGGTCTAAGAGTTTTTAAAGAAGTGCTGTATATAAAGAGATTAGTGCCGTACCAATGCCGAAATTCACATGCACTCATGAATTTTAAAAAAGGTTGTCTTGTAGGGCTTGCTAGAGAGAGTATTTTAGAGAAGTTAATACAAAGTGTTGCTACAAAAATAATTTGCAGAAGTTTCAAAATGCATAGAAAAGATCCCTGGATATTAAGAATAAGCCTTAAGAATTTAGCTAGGTATTCTGTGTACAAAATGAGAAACTCTCAGATCTTCCTCTTCCTTTTTTTTTCCTGTCTTGGATTGCACCTCCCTGCAGCTTTGTATCCCTGTAAACTTGACTGCTGTTATTGATAGGGTTAAATATAAACTGGAATAAACCTGTCAAATTTCATGCTTCATTTTTTGAAAGCATCATTAAGAAAGATGAATAAGATTCCAAAAGATTGTTTAAACTGTTTGTATCTGTAACCACTATATATATGCTGCTATCGTGTCTTTACTGGTTCTTTTGTAAGTACAAATAGGAGTCTCTCAATGTTAGAAGCCATGTGAGCAATCTGAATCTATCAGCAAGATGTTTTCTGTTGCCTATGTTCAGATATAACCTGACTTTGAAGTTCAAGATTATGATTTTTAATAGCTAGGTAATTCCTACCATTGCCTAAAATCCTTAACTGGAAGAAGTAATAGGCTATACACTAACCAACAAACTCTGAACAGGAAATTGAAACAGTGTCACGCTTCTAATATGGCTTTATGCATCTTGATTTTGATTTTCTAATGCTCATTTGCCTTTGATTTGTTCTAGTACATGACTGCTGCTGCACCTATGCAAGGGACCTACATTCCCCAGTACACTCCTGTGCCTCCAACAGCTGTCCCTATTGAAGTAAGTGTATCTCCATCCGTGAAAGTAGAGTGAAGGGGTAGCAGAACTCTTTATCTGTTATGCCTCCTTGCACCTCTTGTTTGAAAGGGGGCTAAAGTTACTTTACAGAATGGTGGCTGGAAGCTTCCAGCTTTTAAAATTAGGACTGCACATTTCTTTCTCTTTTTCTTTTAGTTTCTTTCATCTTTCTTTCTTTCTTTCTTTCTTTCTTTCTTTCTTTCTTTCTTTCTTTCTTTCTTCCTTTCTTCCTCTCTTCCTCTCTTCCTTTCTTCCTTTCTTCCTTTCTTTCTTTCTCTTTCTTTCTTTTTCTTTCTTTCTTTTTCTTTCTTTCTTTCTCTTTCTTTTTTTCTTTCTTTCTTTCCTTCTTTTTCTTTCTTTCTTCCTGTCTTTCTTTTCTTTCTTTTTCTTTCCTTCTTTCTTTCCTTCTCTCTTTCCTTCTTTCTTTCCTTCTCTCTTTCTCTCTTTTTCCTTCCTTTTTTTCTTTTCCCCCCTTTTTTTTAATTACTCGCAAGGGCTCTTGCTTTGCATTTGTTTTGTTGTACAGCAGGACATGGAATTAAAACATCAGTGATTATGACTATTTTTTCCCCATGTACTTGGGAGGGAGATGGGAAGAGACAGGAAAACAAACCCAGCAGGCAGACCACGAACCCAAAAGAGATTCCAAGAAGAGAAGATTGCAAGAGGGTTTGATGCGGTCCTTAGCAAGTATAGGTAATTGCTGAAACATTTAGCCACCAGAAAAAGTGATTGAGCAATGGAAACCTTCCTCTTGTATATACAGACGTGGAGGATGCTGCACTGACTGAGTGCTTTTCATCCTTGAGGAAGGATTCGCTCCCTCCCTCCTTGGGGCTGAGTCATGCTGATGACAGTCTAATGAGTAAGTATTTACTCAACCCTGTAGACCACAAGCTGCCGGGAGAGCGTCAGCTTGGCCTCCACTTCTGTGAAGCTTCATAAGGGCCGCTGGGCACAGCGAGAGGAGGGAGCCTTGGCATCCTCTTCCCTATGTGCTTCTCTTTGGTGCTACCCTCTTTTATTAATAACTTCTCCCCTATTCTGGGGTGATGAGAGGAGTGCCAGGGTCTCTGTACTTCTGTCTTCGGCTGTGTGGACTTTGGAGTTTGTGCTATTACTACTCTGTGCTTTGAGGATGCTGAGTTAGTGGTACTGTTGGCGTGGCTCCACCAGCAGTCAAGTGGACTCATCCTGGTTTCTCCTGGTTCTTTACAATTACTGAGATTCCCAGATGGAGTCCCACAGGAAAGGCTGCTACTGTTCTGGCATACTGAGCTGGTCATGTTTTAGTCTTTTTTGCCTCGGGATAATTTTGCCCTAAACCTTCTCTGTTTACAAACGGGACATGGGTGCCTCTTTTCAGTTGCCATTTTCAGGTATTAAACTGGTACATACAAATCCAAATAAAAGGAGATGGGTGGGATGGAGAGTGGCGCATACAGCAATACTGGCTGCATACTGTGCTGACCAGTGCAAATGAGAAATTAAGTTAATTCTTCCTGAGCCCTCCTCCCCATCATCCACTGGTATATTCATGCCTGCTAAAGTAAGATGATGTCATAATTATCTACTATAATAATCAAAATATTATCTGAATATATAGCCTGTCTTGCTCTGATCCAGTGATGATGATTATTGTTAATGTTTATCTGTATTCATGTAGCATCATGAAGCAGGACCATACTATGCTGGATGCTCCACAAGCAGAGACCAAAAAATACAGTCTCTGCCCCGGAGACCTTACAATCTCAAGATGAGATGGACAAAAGGAGAAGGATAAAGACAAGGAAGTAGACAGAAAAAGATAATACTGACAGTCTGTTAAACAATAGATATGAAGAATTGCTGAAAAATGCAACTGATACTTTTAACAGATAATTTAAAATAAACTACCGGTTGTTTACACAGGACTCAAATTAAAACAAAGCAAGTGCTTTGTGCTCCCTCTTCTGGCCCTGTTGTGTGCAATACATTAATAAAGCGTGTTCCCTGAAGAGACCTGCTAGGGGTATTCATGTGACCAACATGCCAAGCATGAGAGTAAAGGAAAGAAAATACAGCTTACTTTGAAAGTGTACAAAAACACTTAAAAATAGTATTATTCAGACCATCTAAATAGGAGAAGAAATAGTGCATAATGTTAAATACATACATATAATCTTTTGTGTGTTTACTTATCTATTTTTTGCAAACATATAAATAAAACAAAACTTCATTGGAGCTTTGACTTAACAGATAAAAAGTCCTTGGTGGGAAGGAAATTTATTTTTGAAAGGAACATGCATAAAAGCAGTGAGTAGAAGAGCGCAGTGTTTTTCTAAAGGCAGCTAAAATTCTGTGTAGTAAAGCAGAGAGCAGTGGGCCTAGATTCTGCCTTTATTGCATTGCAAATCAAACAAAATAAATGTGAACTCACTGTGAGGTTGGGGTAGGTAAGTGAAAAACAGAAGAGCCATACATGTGTTGTAAAAAAGATGAGAGGCAAAGTCCAGACTCCACTGAAGTCAGAAGTTTGGCCTCTGGCTTTGAATGGGCAGGGAACTGCTCTGAAAGGTGGAGGTATTTTCCACTGCAGCCTGTGAGAGCAAAGTACTACAGGGGCTGGTATGCCAAGGAAGCTTCTTGTTGCTGGGTTAACTCTCTAAAACTGATGGAGTTTGTTGTGTTAGCATGTGGTTCTGCTATCTCAAACTCTCTCAACCGCTAGAGAAATACAGGAATGGTGAGCTGGTACTGGGCTCTTTTATGTAATTCACGGCAGTGAGTAAAATTAGTAAGTTTTTCATGTTCTCATTTGATTCCCTAGGGTGTTGTTGCTGATGCTTCTCCACAGACAGTAGCATCTTCATCACAGGAAGCCAGTGGTCAACAGCAACAGATGACAGTGGAAACATCCAGTGAACATGCGCCTGCATATTCTTACCAACAGTCTAAGTAAGTAGTCATACGCTTTATAACCAGAAGGTTTTGTTTCTTGATTATAGCAGGCCAAATTCTGCTCCCTATTTCAGCAATATAAATTCTGAGTAGCTTCGTTAAGTTCAGATGAATTCTGGATATATAGCAGTGTAATTAGCAAAAGGTTTTGGCTGATGGCCTCACCTTGGCAAAAAGTCCTTGAGTTCCTGCCTGCAATGATATGCTCTCTCACTGTCTGCTGCTTTTCTGGACTCAGAAGGATCTCAACAACTGCGTTAACAATCATCACGCTGGGCTAAAGCAGCATCTGGCGCCAGAGGTTAAAAAGAGCTTAAATTTTGCAGTGGTGAAAACACTGGCACAGTACACACATAAAGGTTTCATTCTGAAAGTGTAGCTAGTGAAGCAGTATAAAATGCCCCAAGTTGGTATTTGTGATTGTGCAAAACTGGTGCCATGCAGACAGTGAGTGGGCAAGAACTGGCAATGGAACGAAGAAGGGATAAGATAGGGATGGGGAGAAGCACTGCTCTGTCTTTCTCCTGTCCTCTGCTCCCTTTGTTTGCTTCCCGTGGAATACCTTGGAAAATTCAAAATTTATACACTGACAGATGGATCTAGAACGCCTAAAAAGTCCCTTCACCTTCAGAATAATCCTCAAATACTCCTTCTCTTTGCCACAGTAAAACTGATCCTTGCAAAGGGAAGGTTACTTAGTGGCAGGGTACTCACCAGGACCAGTGGACAGATTCTAGGAAGGACCCCAAACCCTGTCCTTGATTAATACATGTATATTGAACACCAGTATCACTGTGAAAAGAGAATTACACATTTTTTATCTTGGAGAAGGAAGTAGACAAATAATCAGAAAAGAAACATGTTAGAGATGTCAGTCACTGCATCATGGCGTAGTGCTTATAGAGGCATAAGATATGAGCTGGTATAGGAAAGATTAGAATTATGTTAGATACGGTTTCAGATCACACAATGTCCCTTTTTGACCGCCATAAAACATAAGACCTCACTATTTCTTATGTCACTCCCATATTTGTCTATATGTACATATTACAAAAGCAATTGATCACAAGCTTTTTGTTGATGCACCCAATTGGAGACACAGCCTATGCATGTGTATCCCTTCTAGCCATCAGTCTCTCTAGTACCTGTAAATAAATGATGGCAAAATATTTATAGAATGTAATGGGCAAAGGTAGAAATACATGCGACCGTACCATCCTGTTGGCTTGTTTTGGTGGCTGTGTTCTGTAGGAGTTTGGATCTGACCATTCCCGTGTTCCAGTTCCCTTTCGCTTGAATCTGAAAGCAGAAGGACTTAGGTTCAGAAGCCCTCATAAGGTAGCTGTGAGCAGTGGATTCTGGCATTTTTCCCACATAGGAGGAAACCACATTGCAATTTGTTGCTGAAATGGGTGCCGTGTTTCTTGCCAGTGTGGTGAATTCCCATCTTCTTTGAGAATGAGATCCCTCATCTTTCCTTGTCAGCTACTGCCTTGTTGCAATGATGCACACACTTCTAATGGCACTGGCACTTATATTCAGAGGATTTTCTTTCTTTTTTAATCACACAGGCAGATCCACTACAGATTTTTTATTATGATTATTTCAGTGTTTTTTTCTGAAATGTGCCCTCTATTTATATCTGCCAGTTGCAGGCAGAAATGCAAAATGTGCGAAGCTGCAGAAACAAACCAAGATATACACAATCTCAGTCTTAAAAAAAAACCCAACTTCTGCTGGAATATTTCAGTAATCTTTAATATAAACTCAAGTGAAGTTATTTTGTAATTAAAATATAATTGTTTTAATCTGGTCTTCGAAGGGCATATTTATTAACAGCAAGCATCATGCCCAATATACAACACCTGTTTTCAAAGTGAGATGAGAGGGAGTCATTAACATGACCAAACAATGGTTTTGTCACTATAAAACTATTTCATAGGAGCTGATCAGTCAGGAGGAAAGTTATAACAGTGTATTTCATTATATTTATTTTCTTTGCAACAATCATGAAATTGCAGGCAACGAAGGAGAGGCAATGTACTCAGAATGAACTGGGTGGTATAAGGACTCTGTACTCTCTTTGTAAGTAAAAATAAACCATGAGACTTAAAATTTAAGTTCCATTTTTTTAATCAGCATACACGTTCTTTTATTTAATATGCTGGCTGCTGTACTTGAGGATCCCACCCATAGATGTTTAGAAATTATAAGTTCATGTCAAAAACCTGGCTACCTACTGTGTAGCAATATAGGAGAAAAAGACCTTGGTTTCTGAGCAGAGGACCCAACTTTATGAGGAAATCACCTTAATTATTTTAGACTCATACTCCCTTTTTTCCTTGTAAATCTTTAATTTTGGACATAAAAGTATGAAATCTATGAAGTGGAGATAAATTGAGATCCTTCCCCCTGAAAAATGTACTCTCTTACCTCTGAGCAAAACTCTGCTGGACAACATACTCTGATTTTAAATGTGGAAAGAATTACATTTTTCTGGAGCCTTTTGTGGGCAGACTGAACGCCAGGTTAGATTAGAGAGTGTGTGCTGTCACCCTTTGGTGGAATTGGTCTTTCACACATGTGGTGGCCACTCAACCCAGAGGGGCAGTAAAACCTCAAGAGGTGAGCATCCAACTTGAGTAATCCTACTGGAAGTTATGCGTAGAAAACCCTAAGAAAATAATTAATTCTTGCTTTCCACACAAATCTGTTGTTACATTCAAAATATTAATTTTCAGACTTCACACAATGAAAAAGTCCTTTGGTAAATTTAATATTTAAATTTGAAGTTAGTTTTATGTTTAATATCCCAAAGAAATAGTTCTGTGGCAAATGTTGTGTCATCAACATTCTTCACAATTTAAATCATAGAATCATAGAATCATTTAGGCTGGAAAAGACCTTTAAGATCATCAAGTCCAACCAAGTCCTAATATTAAAATTAATTTAAAACTAAGAAAGGCAAATGTGTTAATGCTTGCAAAAGGAAAGGTGCTGAATTTTCTTGTGTTGAACTTCGGTTGGAAAAGGACTTTTTCCATGCAGGTTTTGAGGACTGTAGGAGAAGCAATAGCTCACCCTTACTGATAGCTCTAGACATGAAACAGCATTTATACTTGGTTCTGTGTCTTCCCAAAGATGTCATATAGCCTTGCTAAGAAAAGTTTGATGTGACATATCTTTAAATGACATGAAACCTCAAAACTACAAAATGTGAGTTATCTTCCGTAAGAAAAAGGTTGGTAGTATAGCTTATTCTCTGTGCTAAATTTAGAAAGATTTGACACTATATGATCAAAAATTTTATTTTTCTAATTAGTATTATCTTTAATGTTTCTACTAAGTTAGCCATAACCGGCTCATTAAGCAGACTGCTCCACAGTCTTAACTGTTCTTGCCATCAGAAAATGTGTTCTTTTTAGCAAATTGGATGTATCCTTTTGTTGTAATTTTATCCTTCTTTTTATTAGTAGTATCAAAAATAAACAGTGCCACTTATTATTATGAAAATATTCACTTTCTTATTGTATTACTCTTGAAATATTTACACGGTGTTAAGCCACGTATTCATCTCATTTCAGCGTAGTTCGACTGCCCATTAAGCATAGCATTAACAAGAGTAAATTCATCTGCTTAAGATGTGTTAACGTCCCCAAAGCAGGAGTTCCCTATTTCTGCCTGACTATTTTCAGCTTAGTGGTGGTATCATATTTAAACAGCTGCAAAGTTAGTTTAGCTTGGATAACTTTTAAAGGGAATTGGGTGGAAAAAAAGGAGAGGACCCTATTTCAAAGTTGTTTTGACTTAATGACCACTTTAATTCAATTGTTTTTACAGACAATAAACAGGACTGAAGAATGTCGGTCTGAAATCTTTGCCTTGAATGGAGAAACTTCACTGAACAAGAAGTTGGCTTCCAGTTTGCACAGGCGTCAAATGAATGCTTTTTTTTTTTTTTCTACCTTTCCCAACGAAAACAAAACAGTGTTTTTATGTGCTGTGCAAATGGTTCCGTCATGTAGTCTGACAATTTTATTTTTGCTATAATTTTTTTTTTTTTTAACTAAAGAAAAAACCCAGAGGAAAAATGCTGGGTTGACATTTCATCTGGATGAACATTTGAATTCAGAATTTACCTGGAGGTGTAGCTAGATTTTTTTTTTTTAACGGAAAAACTGATGATGTCAAGAGGGAGCAAGTTGAGATGAAAACCAATTGTCTTCCTCAAAAATTAAGCTACTCTTTTTCTCTCATTTTATTTTTCTTCTTGTTTTAAATCTAGAGTGTTTTTTGGTTTTTTGTTTTTTGTTTTTTTTAAAGAAATGTTTAGGTAAGGTTTATCTTGAATCTTAATTGCCTTAATTTTAAGGACGTCAAAGGCTCTCAAGGCAAGCTGTCAACGTCTTGTTAGAAAACCCGAGAATGAATTGAAACTGCTCACACCGGTGCTGGTGCAGAAGTTTAATAGACTGAGTTTTTGGGGTGAACAAAAAATAAACTGTACAGTTTAAAAGAAAATGATTTTCTTCTTTTGAAGAAAAGTTGATGATAAAGGAACTGTGGCAACTGAAAGGATTGGAAAATGCTGGGACTTTTATGAACTTTGTCTTAAGTGTTGACAGAAAAAATTCTAGAAGGCTAAAGCATTTTACAGTAAAGTTATTGAATTGAGAAAAAAACTTGCTGCATTGTAGAGAATGCGGGGTTTTTTTCTTGCAGAATGCAGATTTTTTTATTTACAAAGCGTGATCGCTAGCAAAAGCATTAGTGCTTTTTATCTGCAGTCTTTTTTATGAGCTTTAAGAAGTTTTTAGTCTGCTTTGCTTGTCACATTGCAAAAACCTAGCTTAAGAGCATTAAAAAAAAACTTAAGTAGATAGGAGCTTATGGTCAAAAAAGTGCAAAAAAAGCAATAGATAGAAGAAATTGTTGACAATTTCTGTAGTCTTTCCTAGTTGTGAACAAATGCAGCCTATGGATGGCCTATTTTATACCAAA